GGGCTGCGTCAGTGGGGGTAACGAAATAATTTGAATATATCAACAAAGTTGGAATGGTAAATTGGCCACTGTTATGATTATAAAAGCTGACGTTTCGAGCTTTAGCCCTTCGTCAGAGCGAATAGGGATATTGTGGGTTGTGTGTGCTTTTAAAAGCAGAAAAAGGTGCTACGTGATTGGTGGGAAAAAATGGCTATACTCTCATAAATGGCTGCCAGATTAATATTCTTTTGTTTAAATTTAAATTAGCCCTTCTGGCCTCGTTCTCCAGTACAAAATTCAAAAGAATACATTATCTCAAGTGAGGCCAGAAGGGGTAATTTAAATTTAAACAAAAGAATATTAATAGGGCAGCCATTTATCAAAGTGGTCTATACCATATCTCTTCCTGCATTCTAGCACTGTTCTATAATATTAAAAATTTTAATATTAAATATTATTAATATTATAAAAACACAATTAAGTTCACTAATTTCCACAATTTTCCATGACCTGCACTCAATTTTCATACCTTTCTAGACCTAGAACATTCAAAAACAATATTAAAGAATTCCAAGTCTTTTCATGTTTGTCACAGATCATGTGAAGCCTGACAAAGTTATGTCAGTTGAATACTTACAAACTGTCCTGTCTATCTTTACCATAAGATGCAAAAACTTGACTGACTGACTAACAATCTACAGCAACTGAAACTCAAACTTTGAGAACATAAATTTTGTTAAATATTATCACAGAAATGTAAATAGTTAATACATGGTTCGTACAACTTCAGACAAACAAAATTCAAGGACTTTTCAAGGACAAAAGATGGTTTTGAAGGACTAAGTTTTATTCATGAATACACATTTGCCCATCGCTCAATTAAATTGAAAACAAAGGGAAATGAAAAATTCATCGACCAAACCATAGCCAAACCACCACATGTTTACGTTGCTCCTTAAAACAAAAGCCCATAGTGGACTACCCCACATCGGAGGCTTGTGCATGAAATTGAGGCACAGATCCAACATTGCTTCATGTACCACTCACGTTTTACACCGACCATTTTCCCTTTTTGGTAGTTACTAGTGGACAAATTTTCCATAGCAAAAGCGTTTAATTTATCAGAAAAGCTATAAGGTGCACAGAAGCTGCTAAATTTCAAGGACTTTTCATGACCTACTAAAGAAATCAAGTACTTTTCAAGGACTTAACCAAATTTAAGGACTTTTCAAGATGACCGTTAAAATTCAAGACCTTTTCAAGATTGTATGAACCATGTTAATAGTAAACTCTGAATCTCTTGACTAACTTGAAGTAGGGTCTCCCTAGTAAGCTTAACTTCACAAGCACAAGCGACATCTACTGAAACGTTATTTGATTTTTAAATGTTATTTGATTTTTAAATAACTTAATTCACAACAACACTGTTCAATTTTAATGCACTATATAAGAACTTATTATTAAATTATTTATTTTGCTGGTAAAATCATAGATTATGTTCTTCAAAATGTCTTATTAAATAAATCAACTATTTACCTATTGTTGAAGAGATTGCCTGGTTTTGACTGTGGTAGTTCATGTACAATGTGCGTCAACATGTTGTAGTAATCTTGAGTTTTAAAGCTGTCAGCCATAATGATCGCTTTACAGCCAACCTAAGATTTAACAGATACTTCTGTTAAAATTAACAAAAAGAATCCATGTTGTCATGTGTCTGTTCAGTGACAGATCAGAGTTGACGACAAAATGCGGTAAGAACAAACACAGGGCACACTTAACAAATGGTAAATACCACAGCATACACTATTGAGTTATGGACGTATGTGGGATTGCTAAGCACGAAAGAAGCATATTAAGAGTTGTGTGGGGTGATAGCCTAGACTCTAGCTTTTTGAATGCTTAGCAACCTCCCAAGTACATCCATAACTCAATAGTGTGTGCTGTGGCATTTACCATTTGTTTTATAACATAGCATTGATACATTGCGGCAAAAGAGTTTTCTTTTATTTAACAAATCTTAAGTGACCACAACAAACAAGCATGGGCGGAAAACTAGTCCTTGCATTTTGCTCACGTCAGCAGCATACACCCATGGGCAAATGGTGGTCACTGAGTTGACCAATCAGAGTGTGCGCTTTACTTTGGTTACATTATAAAAGGCTCTGCTGAGTGTGTCACTGACGTTCTTACTACAATTTGACATTTTCTGTGATGTGTCCCTCCCGCTTCTTGTACTGTTAATTCAAGAGTGTTGCATTGCTATGTGAATTGACAGGTTGGCTTGTTACTATGGGCCACATGCTCATGTGTAAGAAAAAACAAGTTGATTTGGCAGTAACATGAGCAGTGTTACTGTGTATAAAGTTGTTTAAAAATCAAACCAGCTGAATCTACATTGGCTGCCAATCGAAGCAAGAGTTAATTTTAAGATATTACTTATAACTTAAAAGATCTTAAATGAGCAATCTACTAGTTACTTAGAACCTATTATACAAGAATACCACCCATCAAGAACACTGAGATCATCAACTCGCTTACAGTTACGCATCCCACCTATTAAATCCAATTCCTATGGTGGACGCGCTTTTTCAGTATCTGCACCGAAACTATGGAACTCAATTCCCGAATATATTAAAAGAGCGGAAACATTAGAAACATTCAAAACTAAGCTTGAGACATTTTTTGTTTAAAAAACATTACTGTTAATTAATTACTTATTCTTATGTCTTAATAGTCTTTTGTTAGGCGCATTGAGATTAGAAATGCGCCCTATAAGCATCTATTTTATTATTTATTATTCATTAAAATGTCACTTGTACGAGACGGTCCTTCACCCTAAACGCACGAACTGTGACGTAGTCCGCTAGTTGACTGAAAAATGATCATTAGAGCAGATCGAGATGACAGGAGGTGTGACGCTAGCTCTGGGTGCTAAAAATTGATGACCTTTTACCGTCTAACGTTCAGCCGTTTGTTAGTTCTAGTAAAAACTATTTTCGTTCGTTGTGGAAAAGATATATCCTGAGGAGAATCCTGATTTTTTTCCACTATCTACACGTAGGAGATTCCTAAAATTTTTTTCCACTATCGACACGCGCTACATTGATATCGCTATCAGCTCTAAAACTAGTTACGTCTACGACGGCCTCATAAGTGGATATACTACAGTTGAAGCTCTCATAAGCGACCACTCCGAGAATTAAAAAAAGTGGTCGCAACTAAAACTGGTCGTAATTATAAGTTATAAAACTTAATTAGTTACCCTGACGACAGATCTCAACCTTAACAACAACATGTAATGAGCTCTATTGATCAGTACATGTAAATACGCGCTATATAAATTTGTAAATTATTATTAAATTATTATTACCCGACCTTTGATATGTTTGTTATCTTTAGGAAACAATAGATCTTTGGTAACCACTGCTAACCGTCAACCTCACGATCCGCGAGAGAACCTTCATTAAGGAAATGAGAATTGCAGAATTGCAAAAGCAGGCCGAAAACTTTCTTGATTGTTAGAAAGATCGAGGCGATGAGGCACTGCCGTGGAACATGACGGGCTCATTTACCAACTATGTACTAAAAAGATGTGTATGCGACATTCAAGAAAGTCAGAAACTATCTAAATGCTACTTGATAAGTAACAGTTCAAAGCCAACGCATTTAACATAGACTTAACTTATTTCTTTGCAGATTGATTCTGCCTTTAAGGTATTTGACACATTCTTTGAGTTGCAATTTGCTGTAAAAGAGAAGTACGCAGAAAAAGAGGGAACATCCCGTAATGGCTGGGACGCCCTTGAAAGAGAAAGGTGTGTATACTCACATACTTAAGTTTGAAGTGTTGGATTACTGAGGAAAAAAAATTTTTTACTATGGTCCTTTGTACAGCCCGAATCCAGAAAGACCCGGAGATTTGAAGGAATCGTTTGACTTTGGTTCCTTTAGCGAGGAAACTTTCGTGATCTTTTTTTAATTTTTTTCTTGAAAGTTAAGTGATATTATGGATACCATTGCTAAAATGCTTTATATAGTTCTCGTTACTTTCCTCTGACTTGTGTTGCGTCTAAAGCCGTCGACACACCTGTGCGGCGATTGCGTGTTTCGATCTTGTGCTTCTTCTTAACATTATCGTACCTTCCTCATCCAACTATCGCTGTTTCTACTGTTGCCATTATGTATCCTCTCTAAATCTTCTCTCCGCTATTAGGCATCTTTCACCGTCACCAAAAGTCAGTAACTGCCATTTAAAAATATTCTTGCGGAAAGCCAGGGTAATATTATTGAGTAATCCCCTAGACAAAGTCAAGAGGATTATTCAACAGTATTCACTTAGCCAAAGGCGAATAATTGTTAAGTATAATTGCTCAGGTGCTTTCGAATATTGGTGTTGATTCGTTATGATGTTGAAACCATTGTTACAGGTGTTTTGATTACTCGTATCAATATAAACAGCCTGTCTCCACTGGAATTTCACAGGTTTATTTTATTCAATTAGCAAAAACTCCATTTTTTTCTGTAGAAAAGTGTTACTTCTAACTTAATAGCATCTTTTGAACTTTCTTCTATCGCGTTTATCACTCCCTCGCTACATACATTCACAGAAAGCGAGGCAACCATCTTTAAATTTAGCGCTCCTGCTATAATCACCTCGCGGGAGGTAATTATAACGAGATATGACGCCATCCTCGACCAATTAGAGCGTGCATGTCTATAATCATGCACGGGAGCAACTATACTTAGAAGTATTATTCCCCCTTAAAAAACGTTAATACTTGATAGGTATTATTCAGGTTAATTGGCAAGTATCGTCATTAGGCGTTATTAGTCATTTATTTTCATTGTCATAAAATATTTATTCGATTTCTTTATGGAACATTTAGCCTCCTTAGCATTCTCCGCCACTCGATATGACTAACGATCTTGGCAGATCATCAAATGTGTCACTAGACATCATTTTTCGTCGTTGGACATTCACTCTCCCTTGACTTCACTTGCCATCATCAGTTTAATTTACTGAAATCAGTTACTAGACATCATTCGCTGTCATATAAGCAGTCATTCACCGCCCCAAGACACCACCATTCTTAGATTGATATCATTTGCCGCCATTTTATATAATTCAGTTACCGTCATTACCCTTTTAGGGGTATTAAATTAATTTGGTTCCGTATTTTTAACAGGTAGTTGAAAACTGCATGCTCAAATGAGTATTGGTCTCATTGGTAAATTAAACACTTAAGATTAAATTTCGTTCGAATTTGAATTTTTGAACGAAAGTATTTATTACAGATCTGGCCTGATATGGATGTGCCAAATTTTCAAAACACTGTAACCTCCATTCATCAGTATCTCTTGGATCTTGCAACTAGGGTTCTGTCCGTTATTGCCATTGGTTTAGGAATGGTAAGCACTTTGATCTCATTGTAATACCCATTGTTGGCGTTCTATGCAAACTAAAGGAAATTGCGTGTGTATCTACTTGTTAATTGAGAAAATTTGTTTAATAGGCCAATTAAACGATACAAAGTAATGCTTAATAGATAATAGATCATAGTACAAATTTTATCTTTCTGTGGTTGTACGTAGGAACTCCTAGCCACTTAAAAGACTGCATTTAAAAACTTCCGGCCACCGATTTTTGCCTCCTATAGGAGGCGCAGCCTCATACTGTTATCTAACTGAGTGAATAATACAGTGAATATATGAAGTTCATCCCAGTCGAATACAATGAATATATGAAGTTCATCCCAGTTGGCTTGTTAGCTCAATTGGTAGAGCGCTGCACCAGTATCGCAGAGGTCAGTGGTTCGAATCCCATACAGGCCTGATTTTTTTTCTGGTCTGATTTTCGCTATTGCATAAATAGCGCTATCTAATGCGAAGGATCGTGCATCATACGTATGAGTGAATAATGGTGACAATAGAATACTGAACTTCACAAGAGGCCGATTTTGGATTTTGGACATCAGTGTCCAATTTTGGATTTTGGACACTAGTGGCCAATTTTGGATTACGGACTTTTCCAAACTTATCAACTAGCATGTTCAAAGGAATAACTCGTTGGATCTTCGGCGAGTCAAGGTTCAACGTTAAAGGAAGAGATCAGTGACAAAACGGCAATAACTAAGTTTAACGGTTTTAATTTTTATAGATTTTTAGTGACTTTTCTCTTATTTTAAATAGGAACCTAACACATTTGTCGATGAATGCAAAAAAATGGGAAACTTTTCCGGCTTAGATACAATTATTACCCAATGATAGCAGATATTAGCACTGTGAAGCCCGAGCAGATACGCTGTGGGGAACATACTGATTATGGTGGTATTACACTCCTGATTCAGGATGATGTCGGTGGACAGGAGGTTAGGAAAACTCTTCGCTTGATAACAGAGGCAAAAACTACCTTCTTTCTTTTTCAACGATTCTCGCCGAAGTCAAAGGCGATATAATGGGATTCAACCTTCGGAGTTTTATGTGTTCACTAAGGTATTTTGCTCTTAATCAGATGCTGCCAACAAATCATGGTGGAGAACTTGGCACATTTTTGAACGATATTATTACAGCTTGTACTTATTACTTAATGTAGGTTTCAAACATTAAATATGATGGAAAATTTGTACCTGCTACACCCATGAAAGGGATGGTTCTGGATTGGTGGCTTGATGCAGAGATGGACAAGTGACAACTGATTTAAATCTACGGTATGCCCTGTAATTTTTTGTATAGAATAAAAACGAAATCGAATAAAAGTGCAAGTGTGAAACTTAAGACAGTGAAATCGCATTACTCAAATTTCATACGTAGCGTGGGTGTTTTGAATTGAAATTTCCTTCAATATGCGATACTACATTTGAAACTCAACCAAAATGATAGAAGGAGGAAAAGAAGGAACGGGTAAATAAAAGTACAGGTAACGGCGAGGAGATAAGCAAGAAAGCCAACAAGCATTGAGCAGACGGAAAAAGCAACAAACGACGAACCTACTAACCAGGCAATAGAAAAGGACGATAGATAAAATGATCACTCTAAACAAAAACAACAACAAAAATAAACAACAACAACAAATTAGAAAGTAGCAGCAATTCTTCCTCAGCTCTCTATATCGATGGTGATAGTTACATTCCTCTAAAATTCTTTTTTTCTTCGGAGAAAAAGTTTACTCCTTTATGCAGCCTCATTAATATTTTATGGTCAGTCGAGTGCGAAAGAATCTCTTTTTAAAAATCCTAGTTTAACTCTGTAGCCATTCAACAACTTATCATGAAAGGATCCGCCCAGCTTTGTACTTTATCTTGCAGTTTGATTGCGAGTTACTATCTAAATCATGTATAGCTAATCCACAATTCTTATTATACTGTCATCAGGTTCACCGTGTGTTGATACCTGAAGTTGAATTCCAGCGTCGCTTACCTCGACGCTCATTGGTGCTTTTTGTTGATCCAGATCTCAGGACACTTATAACATGTTTGGATGGCTCAAACAAGTATCCACCGATTACAGCAAGAGAATGGTTAAAAGGCAAACTTAACGCAACTTATCCCTACTGAGAGAAGCACGAGGCTGTGATGTATGAGGTCGTTGTGGCTTGAACGCCACACCTCAACCATAGAATCGAGGAATTTTGAGCAATTTTGTACGAAGGCTAATTTTTCTCTCATGTTTGCCGTAGACACAAAGAACATACGTGATCGTATTGCCCATAGTATTTTAAAGCAAAACTGATTGTTTTGTGGATCGATGTCTTGAAAACAAATGACACGTGCTGTGAGAGACATCTGACTTTTCAAGGAATAGAGCAAATATAAAGGGGTTAATATTGTCTAAAACTTTAAAATGTTGGATCTGACCTAAAAACGCTAAAATAGTATAAAAGTTAAGTTTTCGAGACACATTTTTTCTTCTGTATAAAATGTATTTATTCATTTTTCATTCATACGATGAAAGGTAGCCAGACATTAGGGAGGCGGAGAAAAAAAGATTAGATTTCCCGGCTGAAAGTTAAAGGGAAGAACGAAATCAATGCTGACTGTCATTTTATCGATGACCCGGCTAAAAGTTCAGATATTTTCACTCTTTCGAGATACCTGATAGTCATTTTCCGGGAATGATCTCCATTATGACGTCTCATTTTCAACAATTGTTACTTTTTAAATAAAAGTCCTCTCTCAATACCTTCTGAAATGAAGAAATTAATAAAAATATAGAAAGTTGCCGAATAAACTTTGAACAATGACCCTTTCAGAGCGGTGACTAGCATCTTATTTCTCCCTATGACACCACCCCTGATTTAAGCATTTAGGTCACGAGATGAAAAGGAATTGATCACCAACTAAAGAGGCTCTCGATTGTCAAACAAATTCTCCTTGTCAGCTCCTTAGGAAATGTATGGAGAACAGTTTAGAGAATATGGTTTTAAAGAGTCTTAGAGAAAATCACATCAGGAACGAACTAAAGACCGAGTATAAGATGAAAAGAGATTGGGAACTAAAGCCTGGAACATTTCACCCAAGATGGCTACCGACGAAATACCCGTTGTGGACTTCAGTGCTTTGAATTTAGAAAACAAGGATCCTTTCAGCGAAGTTAGTAAAGAAATTGAGGACCTTGCTGATCAAGTTTACCAAGCGTTTAGTACAATTGGATTTGTTTATCTCAGAAACCACGGAATTCCTCAAGAAATGGTAAGCGACCTCGACCTCTGACGAGGTGGTGGAAGGGGATTGTCGTCACGAATCAAAATTTGGGTTTCACAAGTCACGAATACAAATGAACGTTTCTACGCCACTTCAAGATGGTAAAAAACTGTACGAAGGAATGTCCTTAATGTCAACTAGTGCTTAACAAATAAAAGAGTCGATGTAGCTTTTCAACTATTATAGATCTTTTCGAGAGAAATACGCTGCATGTCCCTCCCTTCCTAGGAGAGGAATATCTTTGCAGCATTTACTTGTAAGAGGTGAGCTATAAGTACTCAAGTACAACAATACCATGAGGGTATGGGTCGTGATAGATCTGTTGATACTTTTCCATCAATTTTCTGTTTGTTATACCTCGAAGATTGACACCGTTTTCAAGACGTATGACAGGTTTTTCGAATTTAGCCAAGATGTAAAGGAAAAGTACACTAAGGATAAAGGAACGTCTTCAAGTGGTTGGGATGCTCTTGAGAGAGAAAGGTATGCGGTACCTTGCAAGTAGAAACACGCGATGTTAACATTCTCCTCAAGTTTTTCAGTCTCTAGTTCCAGTCTATTTATTTCCAAGTTCTGATGCGAACATGGATGTGCTCGCTCCTTTCTTGTGTTTCTCTGTGAAGTCTCCCTCGGCTTCCCGTTATTACATTACTTTTGTTTACCTGTTTAAGTACAGCCAGTACCAACAAGCGTTTTTAAGAGGCTACCCCAAGTGATTTCCCCTGCTCTGAACTGCCACACATACTGACCATTTATTATGTAAATGTCAACAGTCCAGGGTAGATAATTAAGTAACGATTGAAGTCTTTTTTTGTCTCACTTATGCACAGCACTAATCCAGAGAGACCTGGAGATCTCAAAGAATCATTTGATGTGGGTGCAGTCTATGATGAAAACTTTGTGAGTAGCACTGCATCAGTTACTTTGCAGAATGAGTTTATTGTCATTCTATCCATTAAAAAATCTTCCAAGCTCAACTCTTTCATATAGGTGTGATCTCCCAATGGACAACAAACAGATATACACACACACTTTTGATTTTAATGACAACAAACACATTTCAGTTTGCCAAAAACAATCCTTAATTGAATAGTTTTACATGTTGGGAACTTCATCTGGTTCATTTTAAAACAACTTTTTCATGGCAGAACTGGCCCAACAAAGACATTCCCACTTTCCAGAGGACTGTTACCCCTATATATGAGTCCCTAATGGCTCTTAGTGAAAGGATGCTGTCTTTAATGGCTATTGGCTTAAAATTGGTAAGTGGCCTTTAGTTTGATTTCCATCTTAAGTCTGTTTACGAGCCTAGTGGCCCATTAGGTCGGTTCTTAACTCTGTTTTCTGTAGCATGAAGCGACTAGGAGTATTTCTACTCCCTCCTGGATGGGATGTCAGTCCATCGCAGGGTTACCCCCAGCATTAAATTTGCCGGTACCCATTTATAAACCTGGGTGAAGAGAGGCACTGTGAGAGTAAAGTGTCTTGCCTAAGAACACAACACAATGTCCCGGCCGGGGCTTGAACCCGGACCACTTGATCCAGAGTTGAGTGTACCAACCATGAGGCCACCGTGCCTCTACGATTTCCATCTTACTTGAGATAAAATTTAGAGTTTGAAATCAACACCTATTTTGTGTAACCAGTACTGCATGTTGTATTATAGCAAAAGTAACTTCCAATCATGATAAATACAATTTGATCTTTTGCAGTCACATTTGATTTATTAAAATCACATGTTATCTATGATAATCTTTAGAGTTCGTACAGACACTCTCTCTAAGCATAGAGGTCCAAAGATTGACTATAGACTGATGCAAAGCATATCCTGTTTTGTTCATTTGATAAAATTAATTGAGTACCATATCAAATTGTGCTAAAAGTTTATTAATCAGTTCTGTAGTTTTGAATGTGCTTTCTGCTCTGCTACTCTGCCCTGTTCTTTAAGTTACTCTTTACTCCATAGATCAATTTAAAGTAACAGCTTTGATTGAAAACTTAGTGTTACATTTGCTGTATGTAAACTCTATGTAACCATATATTTTTGTAACAAGGAGCCCAACAAATTTGCCTATGCATTTGAGAATAAGGGCACATCCTCTGGCGGTACTCAGCTCAGGTACAACTACTACCCAATGATAGCAGATGTCAGCAGAGTGAAGCCTGGGCAGATACGCTGTGGGGAACATACTGATTATGGTGGCATTACGCTGCTGATTCAGGATGATGTTGGTGGGCTTGAGGTAAGGATACGCGGTAAATCTTTTTTTTAATCCAGGGGGGACTTGTACTTGGAAGACAAAAGCAAAATAGTCCCCATTCCACAATTAAGACCTCATTTGTCCAAATTAAATCTTTGAACCTAAACTTAAAGGCTGAATGTAGAGTTAAGTGAAAAAAAAGTTGCAAGGTGCATGTATGGTGTTCAAGAAGAAAAGGTTACAACAATTAACAAACAAATTATATGTACTGTTCAACACAATTGTGATGCTTGCATTGTCATCTGTAGAACTCAAGAAAAAAATCCTGTCCAAGAATTTTCTATTAGTTTTGATTAATATCATAATCAATTGTACTTATTGCCTAATACAGGTTTCGAACATTAAATATGATGGGCAATTTGTTCCTGCTACACCCATGAAAGGGACAGTTCTGGTAAATATTGGTGACTTGATGCAGAGATGGACAAGTGACAGACTTAAGTCTACTGTATGTATCTAGCAGATAAGTGAGAAAATTTCATAACAGCTTCTCTGTTTGTCCAAATGTGTACTCGAACATTTTACAAAATTAATATTAAATTTGTTACTTAAAGCTTAACTGTACCTTGAAATTGCCCTGTTTTGTGTGGGTGTGTTTATTATAATTATAATTTTGCAACCTTTTTTCTTTATTCTTTGCTCATTTATACTTTAACAGCAATTCATTTATGTACTCTAATAACTTAAATGACTAGACAGAAATGGACAAAGATCAGTGCACAAAATGTGGATGGGGTTGAAACACTAGAAGGAGATCTAGCTAGGTTCTACCAGCAAAGAAGATGGGTTGAACAAGATTATATCTCTTAGTTAAGACAGGGGCACAATGGTAAATGTGCTGAAATTCTGGTTGCATGGTTGGGTTCAGACTCTTAACTATCACTGCACCTCTCTCTGCCAAGGAGTATAAACGAGTTCTGGAAAATTGCCAGGGAAGCATTATGAAATGCTGGAGGGTAACTGTGCAATTGGTTAGGATCCCTACCATACTCCCAGTATTTCATACTATGGAAACTGGGGTAAGCTCTGGCTGGCTGGGTGGACTACTTTGCTCAAGTACAAAATTTTGTTCACCTTATTTTAACTTTTCCCACTGCTATCTTACAAGGACCATGAACTTGCAGCGTGATCTTTGTAAGATTGTCTGGACATATAGTATAATCAGAACATTTTTCAATCTTCTTTCAGGTTCACCGAGTACTGATACCTGAAGTAGAACTTAAGAGGCGCGTACCTCGCCGGTCATTGGTGTTTTTTGTTGACCCAGATCCATCTTCACTAATAACTTGTTTAGATGGCTCAAGCAAATATCCACCAATAACTGCCGGAGAATGGATTAAGGGAAAACTCAATGCCACATATAGTTACTGAGAGTGAGGCAAGTGAACCTAAACTTCACCATCATGCCTAAGTAATTTGGATTTTGAACTACTGGATAATGTTATTTTTATCTCAGTGAAGAATATAAGTTTTACACTCAACTATTTATAGGCTGGGCCTTTAGGTGTAGAAATTGATCCAGGTTTTTTATCACTAAAATCACATGTTGCTTGGTGATTGGTTAGACAGAACCAATGTCACACTGTTAGCCAATCAAATTTAACCTTCAGTTGGTTGATTGCATTTTGTTGTACTTCAGGAACTTACCTTGCTTTTTTTTTTTTTTTTTACATTTTATTTTCATGGTTACCTATGATGTTTTTTCATTTGTTCTATCCGACCAGTGTAGTTAGTTTAGTTTTAATTTTATGACATTCAGTCATAATGTGTACTATGTTAAACAGTTAGATTCCATGTAACTGTGCAACTGTTCAGTAATACATGTGGATGGTAGATGAAGTCAAATTTGGTTAGTACAAAAAGTGTCACATGGATCTGTTCCTTGAAAGTCCTGTTAACTTAAAAGGCCGGAAGCCATATCTCAATATTAAAATTTTAAGATTAGAGGTGCAGGCTCTGGCACCCTTACCAGTTTGATAAATTTATTGTTAAATTTTCAATCATTTTGAAACCCCATCTTGAATGAGGACAGAACAGCTTGACAGGCCTGTTAAGGTACTAGGATCTTGGAGAAATGGGCCCCAGGGCTGCAGCCAAGTGTGTCACTGATGCTCTTCCCAAATTTTGATGTTCTCTACAAACTCTTTCTTTACAAACCCACAGCAACAGAGATCCTAGGTGTTCTATATGATAAAAAAAAAAGCAAAGATTTGTTAATGGATATGTCATCTATGCATTTGTCCTTCAATATATCATAAGAAAGAACTAATCAAAATGCTTGTATGCCCCTTTAACTCCTAAGATCTGATTGTAAATTCTCCCCTCTAGCTGCTACACATGACCTCGTAAATTAGTCAGGAGAATTTGGTGTTAGATCAGGGCCGGGTTGTTCAAAAGTTGGTTAAGATAATCCAGGGTTAGTGTGAAATTTGATTTCAGATCTGAAAGCTTTAAAAGAAAACTCAGTTTGATTAAATTTTTCTACACTTTGATGATTAAGTGCTCTAAAAATAATTGGGAAAATTATCTCAAAGCGGCTTTTGTACAGAGAAATATAGAAACCTGTGTTAAAGTTTAACCCTGGGTTAGCGCTAATTGGCATTCGAACAACTGGGCCCAGGAGAACAACTCTACCTGATAAGTTTGAGTTCTCTCATTACCTGTTTGCTGGATGATGTATTGAAATTATAGGGAGAAGCTACATGTTAATCACTTCTGAGAGTTAAAGGGATAATTCAACTTGTCATATATAATGCTGTCACTACTGACTACACATTTGAAATAATTAGAAACTTGTGTAGGATTTTTGGATTTAGCACTTATACTTAATATCTTACTTATCTTGATTGAACTGTGGAATGTTCTTGATCCGTGTTTGTAAATTCTGGACTAGGCAGGCCAGTCTATAAGAATCTAATAACAAGCATTCATTATATACATTACAGTCAGAAATAATTTATGAAATTGTAAGTAACAAGGATGAAGTTTACATAGATTGTGTTCTTTTCCAAGGGAAAGAAAAATATCAATAATTGAATCTGTGAAAACTTTTAAATTGGATCAATAAACACGTTGGAAAACCAACAAATCTAGCAATAATCGCCAAGTTCGAAAAGGAAATTTGTCTTTTTTAAGTCTTCCTTTTTGATGACCTAGGCTTCGGAAATAAGGTTATTGTAGTGTAAATAACAATTACCACGACTTTGCATGCGATATCTTTTGATATAATTCAGCATGACATTTTCTTGGTGTGTCACTTCGTAACTTAATGTTGCGCAGTATTTTCCGAAGAGCATTAAAAATGTTGCTATCAATCTTTTCAACTCCACGGACTTAACATAGATCGATAAGACTTTGAATAAAAAAAAAAAGATATCTTTTACCATGTTACACGACACGGAAAGGAACTGTGCGCTTCAGCGATCAGGTGGCCAAGAACCAACTGGTTGAGCGATGATATTCCATTTTACTGCGTGTCTCATCAGTCTTAGATCTGGGATGATGTAAAGATTTGGTGAAGACGATGTTGAGCGTCAATTGAGACGCAGACGGGTGTATCACTGATGTACTGAGGTCTTGTTCTGTAATCTACAGATGAAGAGACACATGGCAAACTGAATCTGTTCCTCAAGAATCTTAAACCAGCATAAAAGCTATCATTTTTTCTATGGTCTATCTAGCGCTAAGTTTATTTATGTCTAACGTAATTGTTTGGAAAATATATGCGCATTTTTCTTAAGGTTGAATTTATTAAGGAAAGAGATGAGTTGATTTTGAGGCACGAGTGGGTGTGTCATTGATGCACTCAACACATTTTAGCGTCTTCTCTCTTGATCTGTCACGTAGAGATCATGGCTAAATGGAATCTGTTTAGTTTTAAAAACAAAAGAGAATTGTTTGATAACCTGCTACGAGAATAAGCTTTTAGATCCTTAGGGTGAAAGGGTTATGCGTCACAGATGACGTCGAAATGTGGTAAGAATAAAGCTGAGTTGAACTTGAGACGTAAGCGGGAGACGTATCTTTGTAGTTATTAAAAAACACATTTTGGCGTCTTTTCAGTCTGTTATCTATGGAAAATAGAATACCTTTAATTTTCGCAAGGAACAGACATTCAATTGTAGAATATTAGAAGCGTTGTCTTGCGTAGTGCATCATAATTAAAAAGAGCTCTGTTAACCATAAGTGCATGTAATCAAGCGCGACGTTTTTAATAATCTACATGCCCATTGATAACTATATTTCTGCGCATCCGTTCAATTTGTGATCACAAATAATTTTAAAGTGTGGTGGCCCGTTAAGGTAAACGCCTTCTCAGCCAAACAAAGAAGCGAAAAAAAGATACGTAAACATCCGCTCGTATACTGTAGAAGACTTAATAAAGGCGGGAATGTATTTTCGCTTAGTTACAAATTAAAAACTGACAAGTTGGCTTGAATTAATTTTCGCGCAACTCACTTCTTGTTGTTTTGCAAGATGTAAAATGCACTGATAACCAATTACAGCATCTTTGTCAGTCATCCTTAGCCAGTATAATTTGATCACTAGGAAGACGATTATAAAAAGATTATAAAGAGAGATAAGGCAGTCACGCAGGAATGATTTTCGCACATTTTTTTGCTTTTAAAAAGTATTCCACAGTACATGTGCGACCGTCCTCCGTGATCTGTAGCTGAAGAGACCTAACGGGAGTTCAAGAGATAATTGGTCCATGCTGAACTTTTTTTAGCTGAACTTTTTCTGCCGAATTGGGATAGATAGATACTCTATTATAAACACCTTGCAGCCATAATCTGAATTACGGAATATTTACAAATACAGATGATAAAGAAAGAAGTTTAAAATATTACAACTTCGTCATTAAGAAAGAAGGAAAATTAGCTACACCTTATAAATATGGCTAAAAATATCACTGTTCTTCAAGCGCTTGGAATTACAGTTAGATCGCACCATGGTTAGATCGCTGCAACCAAAAGTTAGATCGCTCCAGTCGAAAGTTAGATCGCTCCATCAAACAAGTTACTTCGCCCCATGTTGTAATGTGAAGTTTCACTTACCACTAATCTTTAAAGATTATAGGTGACAATGTGTCTTGCAACGATTCGAGTACATCGTATTCACTCTGTCCTTCAGATTAGCCACCGAGCTACCGATGTACATGATTTAAAGCGACGATGGAATAAATGATTGTGGAATAAATTATAACGTTATAGTCTGACGTGTATTAAAAAAGATCATTCAAATGCAAGTACTGTCCAGTGTCCTTTTTTGCTGTTTGATGTAAGGAAACTGAGAAACAATAAAGTAGATTACACTTCGTGAGTCCCTTACGTAAGGCTATATTTCATTTCAAACGCGCGCGAGCGATCTTAATCGATTGTTAATTTAATGAACCATCAATTTAGATATTTTCATGTCCCATGTTAGTTACTAGTAAAAGGTGGCTAACAGTATCGTCTTCACCACAAACATATCTGTTCTTTAAGATGTGCCGTTCATTCGTATCAGTAACAGCTTATTAGAGTGTGATATTTTACTCATTGTTCTAATAGTGATAAATAAGTTTACAAACATTAAAAAAACTATTTTTCGCCCTTCTATCTTCCATCAACGATTCTACCTTGGTTTTCTACGTGGAGCGAAGTAACTTATGTTGGGAGCGAAGTAACTTATTTAATGGAACCATCCGGCTAACCATGGCGCGATCTAACCGGATACCTTTTTACCCAATGCAAAGATGACTCCAGAATCTAAAGAGTAAAACTGAGACGTTCGTGAGCCGTTATTCTCGCAAGGCAGATGTATTTCCGCTCAGAAGAGAAGCGAGAAACGGAAATACGTCACAAGGTGTGTTCGCGAGCCATTGAGACTCAAGCAAGTGTGTCGGGCGAATGTTCTTACTCCATTTTGACGTCCTCCGTAATTTATTGCCAAAGAAAAGATTACTGTGTGGAAATATTTTTAAGAGCGCTTGCTGAAGTTTTATGTGTAGGTTTAGCGTACTCGATAAAAGATGACAGATGAATGTGGTGAGAACGAGACTGATTAGCTTTTGAAACGTAAGCTTAAATGTTAAACTATTCCTACTGAACATATTTTGAGGTTACCTTACTCTTCCCTTAGAGAATCTGACATCATTTTCAAGACGGTTTGTTATGAACGGAAGTTGTTGTAAAGAGCAAAACGATAATTGAATGACGTCGGTCTTTTGTCTATGCTTTTAAGATGATCTCAAGATTAGTCACACTTCAATAATCAACTTCAGTAATCAACTCGCTATTTAAATGTAGCACCACAAGAGTAGTGATGCTCAGTTTGGTTGCATGACTGAGAACAGGCCATGAACACGAGAAGTTGTGATTGAAATTGACATACGATTTTTGTTTTCAAAAAATCTCGTATTAGACGTATATTGTATTGGCACAAGACTTACCTTTATTTTCGAACTTTGCAAAGAGGAGGTAAGATTGAAAGATTTCTCCTGCCTACAAACGAAAGTAAGTGTAGTTGATGCATGAATCTTGCCACTATATATGTGCTGAACAGGATTCTCAACCCTGCTCTGATAGCTTGAGCATAGATATCTGCGTAGGGAGATGCCTTGAAATGCTTTATGTATCGACCCAGCTATATTTGTGCACCTTTCGAAATTAATTATTCATTGTCGGGTTTGGTGCCGATTGTACGCTGTAGGATTGCTCATGCTATTTACTTTCTATTTACTATTATTTACTATCTATTACTATTTATTTACAATCTTAGGATATTAGTCTATTTTCATAAGCAATTCTT